TTCAGGCGGCGGCTCGGAGCTGCCGACATGCTGTGTATGTTGGCCCTCCGTGCGGCGCCGCTCTGCCGTCAACAGGCGCGGGAGCCGGGAGCGCTCGGCAGACACTGGCCTTCGTACGCGCCCCGCGCGCAGAGACAGCGCCTCGGTCACGCGGCAGTCGCCTGGAAGGCAGGGCACGTGCCGTCTCGTAAGGACTTCGTTGATCCGGATGACGACTTGGTACGACGAGGCTCCGTCAGCTCCGGTGTCAGCGACCCGTGAGGTGCCGGTCAGCGCAGCGCGACTAGCTCTCCTGACTCCTGAGAACGAAGAGGCGGACAGAAACGCGACCTGCGGCGGCTCCCAGCGGCCAGCTCAGCGGCGCCTGCCGTCGCGTTCGCTGGGCCTGCGCCGGTGGCGTCGCTCCGCACCCGCGCAGGGACCGGCGACCGGCACCGCCAGCTGGCCTCACCTCCGGCCGACCTCGCCCCGACTGTGGCCCCGTCGACCGCCGTGTTTATTGAATTCCGAGCGGGCGGCTCGGCCGGCCGTCCGAACAATGCCCGGCTGGCGTCGCCGGCAGGCCCGGGGCCGCCGCCTCTGTTTTTGTAGTGACGGCTCTATCACCGCCTGGTCCGCTGCAGGGCGTAGCTGGCGCCAGCGCCGGGGCGGCCGTACTGCGCTGTTGACCACGCGCCGGCGAGTGACGAGGTTGGAGCGTGGGGCGGCACCTCACTCGGTACCACGAGCTGGGGAAGCCAGGAGCCGAGGAATGCGCCGCTTCATGAGGGCACGGCGCACCACATATCGCTAGCTGGGCTGTAGTCTGCAGGCCGTTCTGCCGGGCGCCTGGGGCTGCAGTACCTGCGACGTGAACTGTGTAACAAGTCTCTCCAGGAGCACACGGCGTGATCTGTGGCGCTTTCGCCTCTGGAGCGAGGCCTTTAAATGTAGGGAGCGACGGCTGACGATCTCGCTCTCCCTGAAATACCAGAGCCTCGCTTGGAGGCCGAACTGGGATATCACGGTCCAACGCCCAGAGGTGTCTGCGGACTGGCTCATCCTCTATCTCTTGAAACCTCCGCCAGACGCCGTCACGGCGGACGGCCCGTACTGGATCTCCAGGACAGGTCAACACAGATGGCCCCGCACTGGATCTCCAAGACAGGTCAACACAGGTGGCCCCGCATTGGATCTCCAAGACAGGTTACAACGGACGGCCCGTCCTGGATCTCAAAGACAGGTTACAACGGACGGCCCGTACTGGATCTCCCAGGCAGGTCAACAAAGATGGCCCCGCACTGGATCTCCCAGACAGGTTACAACGGACGGCCCGTACTGGATCTCCAAGACAGGTCACAACAGACACCCCCGGGCGCCCCGCGCGCACCAATACGGCGCCTGCTGTTGTGACCCCGAAGAGGGGTCACAGCAGCAGGCGCCGTACTGGATCTCCAAGACAGGTCATAGAAGACGGCTCCCGCACTGGATCTCTAAGACAGGTCACAATAGACGGTCCTCTGCAGCGGCAGGCCCCTGCTGGAGGCCCGGGACTGGCCGCGGCGCTCAGTTAGGGACTGGTCAGGGACTGGTCAGGGCCCCTGCTGGAGGCCCGGGACTGGCCGCGACGCTCAGTTAGGGACTGGTCAGGGACTGGTCAGGGCCCCTGCTTGAGTCCCGGGGACTGGCCGCGACGCTCAGTTAGGGACTGGTCAGGGACTGGTCAGGGCCCCTGCTGGAGTCCCGGGACTGGCCGCGGCGCTCAGTTCGGGACTGGTCAGGGACTGGTCAGGGCCCCTGCTTGAGTCCCGGGACTGGCCGCGGCGCTCAGTTAGGGACTGGTCAGGGAATGGTCAGGGCCCCTGCTGGAGGCCCGGGACTGGCCGTGGCGCTCAGTAAGGGACTGGTCAGGGACTGGTCAGGGACTGGTCAGGGCCCCTGCTGGAGTCCCGGGACTGGCCGCGGCGCTCAGTTACTCTCTGCGCCCGTGACGGCGACGTCCAGCCATTGTGGCGCTTGCGAGCAAACGCATGGTGCGACCGACCGCCTGAGCACCAGGTTACATGGTGTGTTGCATAACATTGAAGCAACGGGGCAGTAAGATTATAGTTTGACAGAGAAAAGTATTTAATACCCGTAATAGTGCGTCGATTATCGTTCGTAATGAAGGCCTTGTCCCGCATCGAAGTAATTATTTTCGTGTAAAGGTTTCGCCCACCCCCGCGGAGTCAAACAAGGATTGCAATCATTGCGGTGGTCTGTCAAATAATTAGCAGCTTGTTTCGAAGTGAGGCCGCTATGTAGCCCAGCGCTAACCATGAGCGGTTATTCAGCAGGCGCGCTGCACATGTCCCACCAGCAGTCAGGCGGGTCTGAATCTGGGTCTTCTCTGTCTGGGGGCGTGATGCAGCATCACAACGCCCCACGCCTGGGCGGCTCACCACAGCACGACACTTACACTTGGTCAAGCGGTTGCCGTGCCTGGCCGGGAGATCGGCCTACAGGGATGGATCGGCTGCGACGAGCTGACTCTACAGCTGGGCGCTAGCCTGTGACGTGTTTAGAGGCTGCAGTGACCGGTGGGGCGGACTCCGTCCTACGGGGCGGCAGACCGGCCATGCAACAATGTTGCAACAGTGAGCTCGCGAGACATCACCGGAGATCAGCGCGGTCCACGCGCGGGTCGGCTGACGGGCGACAGGCATGCGTCATGCGCCCCGGTCCGGCTTTACGGCCTCGCATCGCAGCTAAATGGGTCACAATGTGTCAGCGCGGTGCATGGATTCCTGGCGACCTGGCACCACGCCATGCGTTGGCTAGTTGCTCAACGTCCACCTGACGTTCGCTGACAGAGCCTTCTGAACGTTCTGGAGGAAGATTGTTCGCATGCGTTAAAGGTGGATGTGGATGCGCTGGCGACGTTTTTGTCGCAAACGCCATCTGAAGGACGTAACATATCGTTGACATAGTCACGGGATGGGACGCCAAATGGCGATGGCAAAGTAGGGACGATGCGATGCGACTAGAGGCGATGGTGTCACTGACGAAAGAGGGACCTCTCTCGCATGGCCAGATCAGAACGCTGATGGCAATACTCCTTCACCGCGCAACCTCGCAGGTAGCACTGCCCCACCGTACCGGCCACACGCCACGGTTACCTGCCAGTGGGCCACGCCGTGCGGGCGCCGGAGGGGAGCGGCGGAGCCAGGTGTGCGGTGGGCCCGTCGCAGCGACGACACCCGCTCGCCGCTGCGGCGCACGGCCGCGGCGTCGGCGCTCCTCGGCGCAATCCGCTCCGCGCCAAACCGGGCCCGTACGAGCGGCGTGGCGGCGCCCGTCGGACCGGACGCCGCCTCTAAATCCGTCAGGTGTCGGCGTGGCGCGGCGCGGCGCGGCGCGCTAGCCGCCAAGCGTTGCTTTATGACGCCGGGGAGGGCCTGCCGACGACCGGCACGTGCACTGAGCGACGCCTACCGAGTCCAGTACCGTTGGGGGACGCGCACAGAGTCAAGTACCGCTGGGGGACGCGCACTGAGTCCAGCACCGCTGTGGTACGTGTACTGAGTCTAGTACCGCTGTGGTATGCGCACTGAGTTCAGTACCGCTGTGGTACGCGCACTGAGTCCAGTACCGCTGTGGTATGCGCACTGAGTCCAGTACCGCTGTGGTATGCGCACTGAGTCCAGTACCGCTGTGGTACGCGCACTGAGTCCAGTACCGATGCGGCGGAACGCTCTGAGACGCGCGTTCTTCTGTGCCACGCTCCGCCGCGCCACCCCGCTGGCCGATGACCTGTTCCGCTTTGGTGACACGCTTTGTAGTCACGATGATGAACGGTACTCGCGTGCACCTTGGTGCCTGTGGTTACGCAAACTGCAGTCCGCGACACCTCAAGGGCTCAGCGAGCATATGTGGCTGGTGAGGTGAGCGCTGCCTGTCGTCAAGCCATGCCCCTAGAATGTGTTACGCTCTGGCAGAGCGACCGGGTACCGGGAGTGAAGTCGGTTAGCCGCGCGCCTAGGAAACTGGAGGTACGAGGTTTGCCCCTCACCTGCCGAGTGCATCATGAAGGTGCAATGGCGGCGCGCTGGCAGTGCACGTGACAGACACGCCCCGCTTAAATCATCTCACCACCGTGCGGGGCGTTTAGAATTTGGTTGATGGCTGCCTCGCCCCAGTTTCCATATTGGCAGCTGGTTTGGACAGGTATGCTGACGGTTCAGTCTTGAGTCCGAGGACGACATGCTGACGGTTCAGTCTTGAGTCCGAGGACGACATGCTGACGGTTCAGTCTTGAGTCCGAGGACGACATGCTGACGATTCCCAAGAGGTTGTGCTACCTGCGCTGTCGTCTCTTTTCGCAATAGCCATTCAATTGACTGCGATCATCATTACTCCCTGTAATGCTATAGTGCACGGCTCGTATATCATCATGTCCAATGTTACATTCGGCGAACTCGGTGGGCGCGCTGATGGTAATCTCGCGGGTAAATCAACTAAGCCTTCGATCCTTCGGCGATATGTGAGGCATTCTGGCAGCAGCCTGTCTTTTTCTGCCTTGCCAAGAGATAACTGTTTCGGGTGGCAAAAACAAAATCATGCCGCTGTCCAAAACCCGAACCTCGGCTTTACCAGCACCGAAGACAACAGCGCCGATGTCAGTCTGTAGGCTCTCTTTAAGCGTACTGCTTATATGAGATTATAACCTATGCTTGTAGTTCTGATGTACCTATGGCCGTACCCCGCACCCCACGAATGTAACACAGATTCACGTATGCACTCCGCTGACCTGAACTCAGCTCCGATATTTATATCGGTGGCAGACACAACACCAAAAAGGCACCTCTAAGGCGTGAAACCAATAGCGGATCCATTTTTCCTTATTTCGGTGAAGCAGGCTCCCAATGTGCACCATGTTGCCAGCGTCCCTAAGTGGACGATGACCGGCTCCGAAGGTCCGACGCTGGATCACACGATGCGTCAGCCGCACGCCGCGCTAACGACCTCTCTTTGCGTGGCAGCGGCCAGTTCGCGGTGGTGCGCCGCTGCCGGGAGAAGACCACGGCCACCGAGTACGCCGCCAAGTTCATCCGTAAGCGGCGCGTGGCGTCATCGCGGCGCGGCCAGCCCATGGCCGACATCCAGCAGGAGGTCAACCTGCTCATGCAGATGGCGCATCCCAACGTCATCAGCCTGCACGACGTGTTCGACAACGACGTCTACGTCATCCTGGTGCTGGAGCTGTGAGTACCCGTGTCCTGGTAGAATCGCTCGGGCCGTGGCCGCAGGCCGCTGAAAGGGGGGGGGGGGGGGCAGCGGAAGTCGACAGTCAGCCAGGAGAGAGATGCGGGCATGGTCATGCACCGTATTTGCGGTAAACGGCAGCTGGCTGCACGTCGGTGGGTCGGCCTCAGTCGACCAGCAGAGCGGACGCCGCTGCGGGCTGCCGTGAGTCAGCGGTCGGCTGGGTCTGGTGTTGGGACGGCGTGTGCGGTGAGTGGCAGTGACCGCCTGCTGGCCATGTATGGCGCTCGTCTCAGCCGCGACCTCGGTGGCATGGTCCCCGACTGGGGCCGACCGGGCGCGGCCGACAAACAGTAGCCGGTGGGGCCTGCTCGGACCGGCGACCGACAGCTGCGCCTGGGAGCGCCATACATCAGCAGCGTGCGACTGCCGACTGAGCCAGCGCCGGAGGAGCGGCCTCAGTCGGGACCTGCCGCAATGGTGTCCAGGCCGGGCGGGGGAGGGGGGGGGGAAGGGGAAAGAGGTCACCCCCGCCGGGTGAGCGAGGGCTGCCGAGCGGTGTCCCGACCACGCAGCTGCCGCGTGAGAGCTGGGTCGTCGGTCAGGTGCCATCGCCAAGCCCGCCGCCGCGTCGTCCCCTTCCACAGCACTCCGTGGCCGGCGTCCGTCCGTCGGTGAGCCCGGATCCCCAGGCTCGTCTGTCAGGTCCCGCGACGGCGTCCGTAACCGGCGCCCTGCCGCCACCGCCGGTGGGGACGCGAGCGGCGCGGCCGCCAGCGATGACGCGGTTACCGAGGCGCCGCCGAAGCGCCGCTTTCGCCGCAACCGCGCCGCGCCGCTAATGTATGGAAGGAGACCGGCTGGGCGGGCGCCGGCGTGGACGGCCTAGCCCAGCCCGACGCCGGTCAATAGTGACCTCCGCGGCAGATCCATCGCCCCTCGCCGTGGTCGATCGATACTCCCCCTCACTCACCTGCACACCGGCAGCGAGAACCTTCCACTGGGCCAACGACAGACCACACATGAAATATCGCCAGCCGGAGGCAGTCGTCGCGATCGGCGACCTGATGATTGAAAACAGTAATAGGACGTAATCTCGTGATTTGATTTGCTGCTACAATGCATCGCATTCCTTGTTGTAGCGCCCACGGCATTAAAATACAATATATATATATATATATATATATATATATATATATATATATATATATATATAATCTCTCTCATCTCTTCGATCTCTCTCTCTATCTATCTCTCTTTCTCTCTCTCTCTCTCTTCTCTCTCTCTCTCTCTCTTCTATCTCATCTCTCTCTCTATCTATCTCTATCTATCTCTCTCTCTCTATCATATCTCTCTTCTATCTCCTCTAGTCTCTCTCTCTCTACTAATCTCTATCTCTCTATTCTGTGCTGTGTGTGTGGGTTGTGGGTGTGGGTGTGGTGTGGGGTTGTGTGGGTGCATATGCGTGCAGTGCGTGAGTAAGTACGTGCGTGATGCGTGTGTGCGCGCGGGCGTTGCGTGGGTACGTGCGTATGTGTGCGTGTGTGCCGCGGTGCATGCGTGCGTGCGTGTGCGCTGCGTGTGTAGTGTGTAGTGGTGTGTGTGTGTGTGTGTGTGTGTGTGTGTGTGTGTGTGTGTGTGTGTGTGTGTGTGTGTGTGTGTGTGTGTGTGTGTGTGTGTGTGTATGTGTGTGTGTGTGCGCCCGTTAGGAGTCACACTACCACAATGCTGTGCGGGGATGCATGGGAGCCATTTTTAGGAGCTGTTTTTCTTCTAAGTGACACTGTACTGTGCATGCTCCTCGCTCGCTAACATATCTTGTCCGCGCACAGTCACGCCGCCGACCTCGCCATAGCTTTCTCTGTTTACATATGTGACAATGGTGCTCTAAAGCGCATGTCTTTGTGAATGATGAGCCCTCACTCTATCGCTTACGGTCGCAACATGACCGCCTTTTGGCCGTCACGCCAGACACGATTTATTCTGATCGATACGCAGATTCACTCGTGTACAATGACCATGATTCCATAGTCAGACATGCCATAAACGTTTCATCGTGATCTAACCGGTCCAATGTGCACGCTGGCGGCATAAAGCCTGTGCGGTCCGGCGCCGTATACAAATGGCCAGGAGATACACGGACCCAGCCGAGATGGAGCCGGGCATGTTAGACCGGTCGTTCGACGACTGTAAACGCCGAGCCGCCGCTAACTGGCTAACAATATTGCTCTTTTAACAGCGGGTCTATCACCCATGGTCGTAAGCGTGAGCCTCTTTGTGCACATTGATAGAAGAAAGATAAAGAACTGGCGCTGAACCCCTGCACTATTGGTGCTTTTTACCGTTGCCTCAGCAGGGAAAAGGGCCTAGCGGGTGCTCATGTGATCAGCTCACCTGCATCAGATTGGTGTAACTGAAAACATGACGAATGCTTCTTTTGACCGGCTAGTTCAAGCTGCAGGCGTCAAATCAACACTGCACGGACCCATTTAAGCCCGCCATGGCAATGGAGGCGAACTTGAGTGACTTTGTTTTGGAACAGATATTGAAAGCATTTTTAAGAATTATCCAGGCACTAATGGACCTCAATCTGCAAAAGGGAGCTAGAATCGCTTTTAAACTAGGGTGGGGGTGAAAAATTCCATCGCAAAAGGACCGTGCGGGAGTGAAAAAATTAATTCACAAAAGATGAAACTTATGAGCTCGTGACTGATGCTTTAGCAAACAAAGACATATATTTCAAGTTGGCATGGACGTAATATCAGAAAGCTGACACAAGTGTTCTGCTTTTTCACACCTTAGGCCATTTAAGTGAAACAGAATACGTTAAAACATAATAATTTCATTAAAGTGTAATGAGCATAAAACATTATGAACACCAATTATTTGATGCTGCACTTTGCACTTCCCTTCCACAGCACTTTTACACAAAACAAAGCAGAGGAATTCAATAAAAAATAACATTAAAAAATTAAACAAGCATAAAACACTCAAACAAAAAACCGTGGACTCCTACACATCAGCCCATCACCAAGTCAAACACAATAGACATACCTCTGGCTTCTGTTAAGATGGGGTCAGGGAAAACAAACATTTTGCCACTTTTTTACAAAATACTAATGCCTATTTCCACGAAAGTAACCTAACTATGCCTAACCTAAACAGGTATACCTTATTTTACTATAAGTAACCTTCATCTCATCCTGTCTAACCTGTTTGTACCACGGCAGCAGTTGTGAGTTACTGATTCTTGCACAAATCCTATTGCCACTTGGCATGCACTTAACCAACTTAACCTAACTTAGTGGCCCATATGTTGAACGTCATCTCAACTCACCTATCTATTGACAGCAGCACTCGTGATAAAAACATGATAAAGCTATTTTGACTGGTTTCAACTCGCATTTCTATTCAGTTCATTAGTGTATGCTTGTTGACATCAGACAAAGTTGACAACACACAAATCAAAACACTTTAGATCACTTTGAACAAACTCATTTTGATTGTCATGGTTAGCCTATGTCAAGGGCAACAATGGGTATGATCCACAAAGCAATCTCTCTTCTCCAAAAGTAACATAATTTTTAGATGGCCATGCCAGTATTCCTGCTTGCCTTTTCAGCTGCAACAAAGGCATCTATTAAGGCTTGTTTATTCATATTTCATAACAAAGTGTGAGATCTTGGCTTCACGTTTTAAATGGGACGGTCTGACTATTTGTTACATACTAATATTTAACTCATATGATAATTGCTATGCAGCTTAGATAATTCCTGTGTTAAAAATATGGTGCATATTTACAGTACAGTCATTTGCCAGTCAACAAAACGTGACAACTATAGGAAACATCTGGTTAAAGCAGCCATGACGGACCATTTCAAGAAATTTGGGGCAAATTATCAAGAATATGGAACAAAATTAGCCCATTGCATGCCTTGTAGCATCATCATTTGTCTTATAACAAAACTCGATGGATTAAAACAGAAAATGGCTAGCTCTAGTTACTAAACATGTGTTGAAAGCAGGTAAGGAAAGCAATTACTTGGTCCACAGGAGACTTCTTGGCTTCTTCCTGCTCCCCAAAACAAAAAGTCAGTACCTTTTGCATGGTCTGCTGGCAGACAGAGTCATCCCACTTACCCCCCAAACATAAATATCAATCATGCCCACCAACCTACGAGATTAGAATGCGGAACAAGTAAGAGGTGTGCATGATAAACACCTCCAGAGGGCAGAATTTCGCCATCAAACACTTCTGTATTAGCTGCGTCAGGTCTGTCCCGAAGGTCAGTATGGCAGCATTTGGATAGCCTTGTCAGGTAACCTGGTGGGTTAGACACTCGAAAGGTTTAGATTTAACACTATTGAGCAACGCCATGGACCAAGAAAACGGTTAACCAAAGGTTTAACAGGGCAAAAATGGCGGTAAAAACAAGTTTCGTGGTTCAAATTGTCTCCTTCATTCCTTGTGAATTGTTCACTCTTGGGTGCATATCAAACATGTTTGGGCGGCTGGCGAATTAATCCAATTTATGTATGAAATACGTACAAGTTTACAGTTGGAGCATCTTGCAGAGAAATTGGTCGACATTTTAAGCAACAGATGGCACTTCTAAAAGCAATCAAAAAGGCAGGAAGAATTAAGTGGTATCACACTCTGTGGTATGTTAAACTGGTATGTTACACAGGTTGACGCTGGCTGTGGAATCTGAAAATGAATTTCACGTTTTTTATGGATGCTTAGCACGGCTGCCTTACGTCTCGCCTACGTGAAACGGATGCTAATGCCTACCTTGAACCCGTATAAATTACGCGATGATGGAACTTGCACTGTAACAACGGCTGTAAGTTTCAAATATTCAATAGGTTTTTGCAACCCCTTGGTCGAAAAGACCTACCACAAAGCTATCCGATGGACCGGAAGATGTGTTTATACGGTACACACCACCGCCATTGTAAGCACACACGAAACAGCTGACGCAAACGCCATCGTTCTGAT